CCCCAAAACCCCAAAACCCCAAAACCCCGAGTTAAAAAAATAATCCATCAATGAATTGAGAATTTATAATTATAAAATAACTTAAGCTTAAATCTACTAACTTATAAGAAGGTAATAATTGCAATTTGATTATATCATTTACTCTCATGTTAAAAATACTTGATTTCTAATGTCATTGTTTATTTCATCTTGGCCTAGCATAGACTGTCCTGGCGTAGATCGACTCTTTTAAGAATGACTGTAGTATTCATGCATGTCCTTGCGCCAGTTATTTTTTATTAAGAAATTACCCTTTAACACACTTTCTATCACAAAGTAATCTTTCTAATTACCCTTGTCTAAGAGATTCTTCTAAATAATTGCCAGTTTGCTCTTTTAAATACCCAATAGACATGACTCCTGTTATGCCACACATGATTCCTATCTAATCTGCATATTTTTATCGTAAAGCACTTCCTCTCCTACAGTCCAACCAATGTTAGCTTTACCAATTGATACCTGAGTACTAACACTCTAACTATCAATGTTTTGTTTACTAGCACTAGTGTGACTATCATCCATAGGATTGATGGATGATACCAGTAGATTTAACTTACCAAATAATACGAAATAGACAAAGTTATCCTAGCCTCCACTCTTGTAGAGAACTTAATCTTTCGCCAGATATATAATAGAACTTTCAGTCAGCATACTTTTCAAAGTATCAATTTCTAATTTACAAAATATTGGATGCTTGGCATGAAGGACTACATGAGATACATATATAGACGATTCACCTTGGTCTTTGAATTTCTATTTCAGTTCGAAGAAGCCATCCTTGATCTCATCTTCAATACTAGGGTCTAACTCTTTTTCACGGCAAACAAGCTCCGGCTCCTCACCTGCTGTGTTATTAGAAATATTAGGTTGACTGCTAAAGAAGGCTTTGCCAGATTGAACACCCTTTTTAGGGGTGAGAACCATAGCATTAGGAACACCCCCTCTTGATTGCTAGTTGATATTTCTGTTAACTTACATTGTTTATTACTATTAGTTGCCATTCGCTCTGTTAATCATAGTCACACGAGGGCTCAATGATTTATAGTTTCTTGAAAAATCACTTGCACTTGGCTTTCGAGGAATGGTTTTTAATTTATTAACTGACCTGAGACGATCTATATTGGCATAGTCATTATTTAACAAGCTTTTCTAAGAGTTATTGATGCTTAATCTGCCACTTTGTGACCCAGCTCTTGTTCGACTATTGCTCAATGATCTTTGAGATCTATTTTACTACATTCCACCTCCCCTTGATTAGCTTTTATTTAATGATAAAGGTCCTCTTTATAGTATTTTCTATTTGGAAGGTAGTATACTCTATACGACATGAGGCTGACTAGGATGATGCTTTTTAGCACACACAGTACACAAATGCTGTTTAGGTCCTGCATTGTTAGATACCACCAGCTTTTCCTTTTTCTATTTTAATATATAAACATTGAACAAACTTTACATATGCTTATTTCAAGTTAGGCAATCTTAATGGGGAAGTCTTGTTTATAATGCTGCTGTGGTTATTCATATGAGGATTGTCCATTGAGATATTACCTCTTTTGTTGGTTTGATTAATCATGCTTCTATTTGCTATCGAGGTATAGTTATTGTTACTATTATTGCCCTTAAACCCTGCTTAACTTGGTTTTCGATTACCTAAACCTCTGTTCAAAGCTATTAAGCCATATGTCCCTCTTCCAGTGTTCATGCCATTCGGAATGCCAAATGACTTTCTCTCACCACCAGATTTTGTGCTGAAAAGTGTCTCTTCTTGGATTTAAGTTAAATTTGCATATTTATTAATCACCTAGTTTTGATAGTTATGTGAATCACTAAGGTTACTCCTGTTCACTAAACTTAGTGCTCTATTTTGATTCATGTTTGCATTTTGATTGTTCTCGTTGTCACTGCCCTTCAAAGTAGGTGGACCTCCCTTTCCTCTTAGTTGACTTTAATTCATGACTGCCTAGGGTAGTCCCATTGGTGGGTCATACATACTATCATCAGATAAATGATTTGATAATGGATCTAGATTTTATCTGTTTTATAGACTCTTGATGGGTGCCATGAAATCAATTTTAGATTTGAAGAATTTTTTATCCTAAATCTTTCCACTCAAATCAAAGTTATTTCCTTGGGAAAGCTTTTCCTATTGACTTTAATCTGATACATAATGATTGCTTCCTGTTTCATTAAGTGATTTTTTATCTGATCTGTTATCTCTTGGTCACTTAAAGGTTTGCTTGTTTTACTTATAATAGTCTGAGATATAACCGTTCGTGTTGTTTGTGTCTTGACTTGGTTACTGATAAATCTTTGGTAGAAACCTATATATTAACTTTGAATGATAACAATAAAAATACGAGTTGCCATTGACTGTTGAACTTGTAAGCATGTTGGAGTCCTTGACTGGATTTAAAATTTGATTATTAGTGGGTTTCTTTGTCGAAGTAGACAGGATTGACGAATTATTCTATTATTGCTGCTACTATTGTTGTTATTACTATTATGGTGGTCTAAGATAAGAATATTAGTTTAGGTAATTAAGAATAGAACAAACTTACTTTTGAATATCCTTGGGGTAGTTTAGACTGTTGCTTTTAATTATGATTTGATTATGTATCGTTTGTACATTGTTCTAGATGATAATGTTTGCAGGTTTGGGTTCAATATCATCAGTATTGTCCACGATTTCAAATGGTGGGTGCTCAATTTCATGTATTTTAACGTTTAATTGCTTGGCTAAGTTTTGATATTTAACCTTAGTCTTAGGAGATATACCTAGAGGGTTGTCGTTATCAAACTATTACTGATCTTTCGACTCACTTTACTGGTTTTAGGTAGCAGGCAAGTGAGTTTATTAGAGTTGCGATTCCATTGCGAATTTAATGAAATTTCTTATTATTAATTTAACTCGTTTTAGACAGATTAATCCAAATTAATCACTGAGGGGTTTTGGGGTTTTGGGGTTTTGGGG